AACAACAGTTCTATCTCACCTCTTCCAAATATATGGAAATGAGCTGGCTACAAAGAGCAGAGCAAGTTTCACAACTAGACATGGGATGTTCATATTCACATCCAAGGGGATATGGATACAAATATCGGCATCACCAATATCTGGGAAGTCCAGTCCTGGCTCACAGAGCGAACAGCATTCCCATCACACCAACTGTGGAAGTAGCCCAGCTGGTGCTTCCCCATTCCCCCTCTTCATAGCCAACTGCTCAACAGCTGAGCAGAGAGACTCATCATCCTGCCTTCTTGCCACAGTGGTTATCTGAGCAGGGAGGCGGGGAAGCATTAGTCAGGCTACTTCTGAGACAGCCTTGACAAGAATTATGCCAACCCCATGTGCCATCCGGTGACTGGTAATTGGACCTACCAGTTTGGAGGGGAGGGACTGGCATCTGTGGTTTTCGTATTCATATCACCAGGGACACGAATACAAATATCCCATGTCTATTCACAACCTCTGATAGAAGCAAAAGCAAACACACTGATAAACACCAATGTGTGAAAGGCTGAAACTGTGACATTAATTCCTGTGTATGAATATCATGTTCTGTCTTTTTTGCCCAAAATAAAAGAGAGGAAAATTAGATTTTAAAAAGAAGTCATTTGTTTATATCCAGTTGCTAGTCTCGGTGGAAGGGAACCCACTGAATCAACTGCTAAATGGTACTTCAACACTTATGTAAATCCTACTGAGTTAATGAGCCTGTTCTAGCTGGGATTGGATTTAGGTCATTGATCCTTAAATAACCAAGTATTTTCTCAGCCAGCTGTACCTCTTTGCAACATAACAAGGTACGTGACTGCCATGTTTGTGAGGATTTCTGATAATCAGGACATAATGATAATGCAACATTTCTTATTAATTTGATCCACATCCATTAATGGGGGAGTTTGCAAGCTGTGGACTATTCTGACACCTTCACAAAGCAGAACTTGAGCAAAAAGGGACTCGGTCTCAGTCCTTTCTGTTCCCAGAGGGAAGCTCATGTTCATAAAAATAAAAAAAAACCACACAGAATCCTTGGCATCTTAAAGACTAGCAGATTTTTTTTGTGGTAACAAATTTCATAAACTAAGGCCCACAAAAGGACTCAGTCAAAAGGTTTTGATGCTTTAAATCTTATGCCACAATAAATCTGCTCAGTTCTCACGACTCTTCAGGATGTTCTCTAGACAGGGGGGGTAAAAGAATGAACTGGAACACTGGAACAATAAAGGTCACATTCCTTTCCTTGCCAGTCCATACCATTCTCTCTGCTTAAGCAGGGTATCACAGGGAGATGACTTGATGGCAATTGGGGTCTCTTCCAACTCTGTAGTTCTTTGGCTCAAATCCTGTTGCACAGCTCTGTGCAACAGGTATGATGTCAGCAGCAGCTGCAGCAGCAAAGCTCCGGTGATTAACGGCATTCTGAGGGTGCAACCCAAAATTTGCCAAAGCCGGAAATAAGCAGGGATTTATTACTGCTGATGCCATCATCACGATGTCTATGTTGGCTTGATCATGTCATGAGAATGGCTGACGGTCGGATTCAAAAAGATCTCTTGTATGGAGAATTGGTGCAGGGAAATTGCCCCAGAGGGAGACCACAGCTGCGATACAAGGATATCTGCAAGCGGGATCTGAAGGCCTTAGGAATGGACCTCAACAGATGGGAAACCTTGACATCTGAGCACTCAGCCTTGAGGCAGGAGTTGCATCACAGCCTCTCCCAATTTGAAGAGACCCTTGTCCAGCAGGCTGAGGCCAAGAGGCAGTCCTGAAACCAGCCAAATCAGGGAGCTGGACAGGGGACAGATTGTATCTGTCTTCAGTGTGGAACGGATTGTCACTATCAAATGGGCCTTCTCAGCCACACTAGATGCTGTTCCAGGGCCTTTATTCAGAGCACGTTACCATAGTCTTTCGAGACTGAAGGATGCCTACTACTTCTGACATCATTGTTCTTATGTGCACAGAATGACACAACAGAAATTCAGCCTGCAATTTAACTCACATCTTTTTCTCTATCATTTGCTTCTAATTCTGGATTGGTCCTATGGGACAAGCCACAACCAAGCTCTTTCACACATTGGTGCAAGATTCTGATGTAGGCTATACACTCGGATATTTCCCATGCTGCTAAGTTACTGTCAGAAGGGAGCAAAACCAACATATCTGCATGTGAGCTTTCATTTGAGTCTGGGGCTTCCCAGTGTTGACCTTAGGAGTGTTTTCCAATAAAGAAATAATCTGTCAAATGCAAATCACTGAATAAAGTTGCTGTTAAAGCTTCTTGAAGGGGTCCTCTCATCCTTTGTGACCGTGAAACCTGAGAAACAATATGTGTTACTGATACTCTTTGAATGTTCCACATGTTTAGGGACAAGCTAGACCACAGTTCAGAGCTAATGAATTCAAATCTCATTGATTTTAGTGGCTACTTTAATGAGATCCAAGAGATCACCCACACTGAGCATTTGGTTCAACTTTCTTTGTACTCATGATACTGGTACTGTTTCTCAATGTTGACACAATCCAGGGCTGAAACTAGTGCCAACAGAGTCAAAGCGAGAGAGAAGAAAAGAAAACATATTTCCTGTTTATTTTTTGTCCAGCATGGCTCTGGGTTTGATCTAATGCAGGGGCTGCTTCTGTGGCCCCTAGAATTGTGTTGTTCTGTGCTGATCTTGCACTCTGTGGGTATGGTGTTATCTGGCGGGTATTTTTCTGCCCCCTCTCCACTTCTCTTTGCCCTCTGGGCGGGTAAAACAAGGCGGGAAGGAAGAGAGAAGGTGGAGAAGGCAGGCAAGATGGGAGGGCAGTCACTGCGGGGTATGAGTTGTCAGGTCTGCAATTTTGGATGAACGTGGACAAGCGATGCTGAGGGTGACCCAGCGTATTCAAGAATAAACACCCTCCCCATGTGTGGATGCTGATACTGAAATGATCTATTCAAATCTGCAACAAAAATACCAGAACCACCCAGAATAAGCTTAAAATGACCAGGGACAACACCACAGTGTGGACAAGCCTTTCATTTAGAACCATCCCAAAATATTAGATGAGTGCCTGATTTTCAGGAGCAGATGGTGGGGAGCAGGATTTGGATAAGGTGGAAAGGGAATGTGTTGACATTTCCCTCTGCCGATGCAGGTCCCCACCCAGTGTGGGGGGTAGGGGTTCATTTTTGTCACAACTGCAGCATTAGTGAGGAAACGATTCATTCTTTCCCAATGTGATGTACGTAGTCCCTCGTCTTTCTCCCACCCTAACCCTGGTTTGTTATGCAAAGACAGAAACTGTAGTGGGAACAACACACTGAGGGGAAAGCAGGTAGAATTCACAGCAACAGTTATTGCACATGTCACATACCCTTCTATGGCTTACAAATGGCATCAATGCACACTTTTAGGTCTTCCCTCACTACCCCAACCAGTGGGAGACGCCTCAGCGATAGACAGAACCAGGGTTGGGGCAGCAAAGCCCTCACCTACTTGAAAATGGAGTCACAGTCGCTGCAGCTTGAGCAAGAACAGCATCACATCCTCCTCCTCCCCCCCCCCCGGCCAGCGCAGGGAAGCTTCCCATTACCTCAGCACTGGCTGGTCAAGTGATGATGTTATTGCCTGGGGTGGGCAGCTCAGGTGGCCCCATTTTCACCACATATTGAGCAGGCAAAGACTCTGTTGCCTTCCCCAATGCTGTCAGTAGTCGGGAGGCCAGCCACCACTAGCAGGTGCAGCTGAAACTACACGTCCTATTTCAATGTGAGGAACCACAGTAAAACAGGAGCGGCGCTGGAAGGCAATTCATGCCTGTTTGCTGATAACCCACAGTAAAAAGCTTTGCTGTGGCTTATTGCAAACATAAAGTTCTCGCCTCAGACATATTATCCTGCTATTCTTGTGTTTGTGCAAAGTGTCAGGGGAGAGGCCAAGAAGGCACTTCCAGCATTCTCTGTGGCTTTTTCCCATATTATCCTGCTATTCTTGTGTTTGTGCAGTGTCAGGGGAGAGGCCAAGAAGTAGGGTTGCCAGATGTCAGGCAAAAGGAGGACATGTCCTCCTTTTTAGCCTAATGTCCTCCGTCAGGCAGGCAAAGATAAAAATCTTTAAAATGTCAGGGTTTTGTATATTTTATGTTATAATTTTGGATGAGAGGGGGAGAGGTGGAAGGACCCCCTTCCCCCTGGCTTTCCCCACCCCCACCTGCCCGCCCGGTATTTTGCAAAAAAGACTCCATTGAATTTATTTTTATTTTTTTAACATGACTGTTTCTTGGTCAGTTCACTAAGAGACATTTATTGGCAGCTATTGTAATAAAATTGTATTGATTGTGGGTTTAATCTGGAACGATTCAAATGAACCATTCAATATGTCCTCCTTTGTCCTCCTTTTTGTCTTTCTATGTCCTCCTTTTAGTACCCGTGTCTCTGGCAACCCTACCAAGAAGGCACTTCCAGCATTCTTTGTGGCTTTTTTTTTTCCTTGCCCTATGAGGAGCAGACGTCCATTAAATTGTGCAAAACGAAAAACCCTCACCATCTATGCACAGCTAAGAGTCCCAAACATAAGCACATGTGGCAGAATTCAGCTTTCCTCAGTGGCAAATGGGGATTAACTTTGTGCCAAAGAGCTGTTGTACCACTGAAGGCGTTTGAAGAGGCCGAAGTGCACATGCACACAGCCCTGGCCTGGGTCTTGCTCTCAGGGTGGTTATTCACAGCACCGATTCCATTTGCTTTAAGACAGCCGTTGAGATTCCTAGCACAAATCCCAAAAGCAGGTATGACACTGTAACCGGAGCAGCCCTCCGTGACTTTGCCCAATCTGTGCATTAATAGAAGCCTTGTGCACACTCGGTTGAGTCATTTGATATATCTCAGCAGCTGTACGTGCGGCTGGCTGCCCGTCTTCCTCAAGGCCTCCCCGCACCCCACCCCCTTGCAGGCTACTCCACTTTGGCACTGGAGGGCTGACATTTGAAATTGCTTAACTACGCCAAGACTTTGGAAGAAGGCTCAGATGCCCTGCTGTGTTCCTTGCCATAGGCAGACTGATCCAGGACCAGCCATTGCCCACTGCCTCTTGGCCTACGTCTACTAGCCATGGATGAAGCAAAGGCTTTCAAAGTTCGGGTGACTTTTGCCATTATTTTGATTGGCGTGGCTTTAATGTTTACAGCCGTGGTGACAGACCACTGGGCAGTGCTGAGCCCGAAAGTAGAGGAGTACAATGCGACCTGTGAAGTGGCTCATTTTGGGCTCTGGCGGATCTGTATAAAGCGGATCTTCATGAAAGAAAATGAGACGGACAAGGATCAGGGCTGTGGGCCAATCAGCCTGCCAGGAGGTAGGTGACCCTACATAACTGCCTTGACGAGGCACTGGAGAATATCCAGATAACTTGCAAATGTTGTTTTGGAGCTACAACTCCCAACATACTCCAGACAGTATGGCCATGCCAGTCTTCTGGGAGTTGCAGTCCACAAAAATAACCTTTACAAGTGGCATTACTATCAACAGAGATGCTTTAGAATGCTGAAGGGCATGATGGGAAAAGTGAATTACAGCCTCCCATTTTGCTTTCATGCATCTCTCCTCCCGGATTCCCTGAGGTTCCTTCTGCTGCCCTCACTTATATTGTATGAATGTTTACTACAACATTCACCAGCTGTCTGACTCTAAAGGGAAAGCAGCAGGGAAGGCAGAAAGCAGAGAAAAGACGGAACAAGAGGAATGCTTTCTCCAGATTCTTTGATCACATGAATGCCAGGGAACATACCGAACTGACAGAAACTTTTATTTGGAGACGAGGGAAAATAATTGAAGTTTGGCCTACATAACCCCTATGCTATCAACCCCAGTAATAGCTCTAATATTCATTCAGCAGTATTTTTCATTTGTGTAATTATACACAATTTTTTTTTTAAAAGGCCAACGTATAAAGTTAGTCTATCTCTGGAAGTTATTCTGTGATTACTTAAGATAACATAAGGCCATGGTTCAGGGGCTATTTCATTGCATTTTAAAAAAACTAATAGTTCCATTAAAGTGGAGAGAACAACAGTTAATTCTTTCAAGCCTAAATGTGTGGTAGTGAGAGCGTCTCACAGATCCAAAATCCAGGAGGGTCTCACATGAGCAACAAGGAAGCAATTGTGTGTATCGTATTACCTAGTTCTTTGCAGAATGGATGGGAAGGGAAAGAAAAAGGCAAAGAGAAATGTTTTTAAAATGGGCAGACAATGTACGGTTGCTACTCTTCAGTAACAGGTAATGTTCATTTTCTTCTCAAAGGCTTCTGTTCAGATAACAAGCTGGCCGGAAACAGGGAAAGATACTACTTGGGGCTGCCAGTAGCTACACTGTAGATGGGGGTACTTGGGGAGTTGCTCTAGAGCAGAGGAGTAAATTTTCTTATCTTTGAAAACTGGATATCAAAATGTGTACATAAAAGACTAGGATTTTTCCAACTGGGTCTTCCTAATCCATATATGTGTTCAGGGTCCAAATAAATCCTATATGGCTGAGAATCCATGGTTGATATTATTTCCCCAGGACCCAGTTTGGTCCATAACAGCCTCCTTAAAATGAACAAAAATAGGTTGTGGAAGGGAAACCTAAGCAGGAAAAAAAATTGGAAGTTCCCTTTTATTTTTGTGGTGTTTATGCTTGGAGCAGCTGGCTGGATAGCTGGTTGAGGTGTTTGGCTTTGGAGGTTGGGAGATCGATTCCCTACTGTGCTGCCTGTGAGCCATCTGTGTGGCTGTGGGTCAGCTGCACAGTCCCCGGGTGCTCCCAGAAGAAGGGAGTAGTAAACCATTTCTGAGTGTTCTGTATGTGGAAAACCTTAGAAGCCATCAGTCAGAATTGACTTGATGGTACCTGATGATTCTTACTATGTTTGAAATGGTTTGAAGACTGAATCTCATTTCATTGCAAAACCAACTGTGCCTGGAGGCTTCTAAGAGGGAGAAAGGGGCATTTTCTACAGACCTCCCTTCTGAGCATTGGGGCACCCTGGCCCCACAAAAAAAGCCTTGGGGGCTGCCCATGCCCCCTCTCCAGCCCATCCAGCTATACAAACACAAATCTATGACTGAACGCAGATACGCTGTGTGGTCTACACAGAAACATGAAGAGCATATTGGATTACTTATAAATGCACATATTTATTTATTTATTTATTTATTTATTTATTTATTTATTTACTTACTTACTTACTTACTTACTTACTTACTTACTTACTTACTTACTTACTTACTTACTTACTTACTTACTTACTTATCAAAAATACGTTTATGTTGCCTTTCTTCTTAAAAGGACTCGAGGTGGCTTGGATCATTAAAAGGACAATATTTAAAAGCTAAAAAGCAGTTGTTGTTGTTTAGTCATTAAGTCGTGCCCAACTCTCCATGACCCCATGGACCAGAGCATGCCAGGCCCTCCTGTCTTCCACTGCCTCCTGGAGTTGGGTCAAATTCATGTTGGTAGCTTTGATGACAATGTCCAACCATCTCGTCCTCTGTCGTCCCCTTCTCCTCTTGCCTTCACACTTTCCCAGCATCAG